AAACGAGCCATTTTTGGAGCTTGATTAAATAAATGCTTTGTTTGTAATGAGGAGGATGTTTTAAGCTTGAAACTTGCAGGATGTTTTAAAGGGGTCATACGACGCGATTTCAAGTTTTCCTTTCTCTTTGGAGTGTTACAAGCTGTTCGTGAATAGATGAGATCCCTAAAGTTGCAAAGACTGAAGTCTCAAACCCAAAGGGATATTCTTTATAAAAAGTTAAGACTCATCCACGCCCTCCTAAACCACCTTGTTTAAACACGCCCCCCACATGTCTATGTCACGATGTGGGAAGATTTGCATAACACCGCCCAAATGTTCACGCAAAGAAAGAAGGTATAACTTTGATTCTCGCTGTAGTATTGTTGCCGCCGCCGTCATGTCGTGGAGACGCTGTGTGTTTCGTTGTGAAAGCGAAACTACTTTGTTTGGCCTTCCCAAAGAGGACGATATCCGCTTCGTCATGCCTAGAGCTGATCCGTGCTGGTCGCTGAGGAACTACATCAACTTCGCGCTGTGAATTGCCGACACAAAATAATGTTATTTTTAGCAACATCATTTGACCCCTTTTAAAAGCATATAAGCCCATTGATACTGTATTTATGTAAACAAGACACAAATGACAAATGAACGCCAACCTGAAGAGCGGTTTGTGATTGTGAACGATGCCCTCACTGGTTTTGTCATTGGCGTTGGTGAAGAGCACATCCCAGGCTTCTGGAAGAGTATTGGGATCCACAGCAAACCCATGATTCTGAGAGGTGATGAAACAACGATTTGTTCCTTTATGGATGCAGGGTTGGTTATGGCCACGATTACCATACCTGAAATACACAAAGACCATGAATGAAGTTGTAGCTTTTAAGATGCACAATTAAGTGCTACTCAGACATAAACCATATCTGAAATAACCCGCTCACTGTTCTCTTCTGAAGAAAGGCCTGTTGACTGGCTTCTCACCTGGCCTTGAGCACAAGCAAAACAAAGCAACTATCCCAGGACTCTTAGAAAAACACTACCGCTTATCCCAGAACCAGACTAGCCTACCCCAGCTCCTGACTAGACTGCTGAGCTCAGCAACTAGATATCACACCATGCTGCTCCTTCATGATAACTGGAATGGCATGGGAAGGCCAAGGAAGCAGCCTTTTGTTCCTCTACAAACCCCTTAATCCACTAACCATAAAGTGATGCTGTCTGGTTTAATCACACAGCAAAAATCCTAATATTATTATTATGCTGTATCTTTAACTTGTTTTAACAACAAATCAAGTAAAATTTTCCTTCAGGTACAAAATATTAAGAATGTATCTTGAACATAAGAGCATTATACTACTAACCTCACTATAAGAATACTTTTCTAAAAGCTATTTTTACTAAATATCTTTCTGCAGCTTCAAATGCATTAATTTTTACTTTTGTTTACTTCATGTGATTTTAATAATATGCTTAGCTATCCATCAATTTGTCTTTAACAAATGTGATGACAACATCTAATAAAGGGTTAGTCCATCCAAAAATAATAATTTAAAAAAAAAGGTAATTATTTACTTGACCCTCATGTTGTTACAAATCTGTATGACTTTATTCTGTGGAACATAAAAGATGACATTTTAGGTAATGTCTATATTTTTCTGTTCATACAATGAAAGTCAGTGGGCTTCAATGTTGATTGGTTCCCATCATCTCAATTTCTCCTTTTGTGTTCCACAGAATAAAAATGCATCCGGGTATGGAATGACAAGAGGATAAGTACATGACAGAATTTTCATTTTTGGGTGAACTATCCTAAGGAAATGTGCTTTAGAAGTCTGCAGAAAGTGAAAAGAATGAACACATTGCTTACTTCATTTTGTATGTCTTTGCACCAATGACCAAAGATAGAAGCTGATGGCCCAGACAAATCCCAAAGACAGGTTTGGGATTCTCCACACATGCCACATTCCGTATATTCTCTACAGTCTCTTTACAGTACTCAGGATTGCCAGGACCATTGCTGATGAACAACCCATCAAAATCTAAAGAAACGGAAGCACAGTGATATAATTTTCTACTCGTTTTTAGAATTACTATTAGCATTTACAGTCTGATTTTCTAATCATGTAAAAAATGTTCTAACCCTTAAACAGCATATTACCATGCATCTTTATAAATGTATTTAAACAACTACAACATATCCTTCAGTAATACGTGGGAAACAGTGCCATGCCTCACCATTGCTATCTAGAGGATAATCCCAGGGGACAACGGTGACCCGGGCACCTCTCTGGCAAAAGCAACGTATCTGGTTGTACTTGATGCCACAGTCTATGGCAGTGATTCTCACTGTGCCCTCTGGATTAAAAACTTTTGGTTCCTGTTGAATCAGGTGTAAATAACAAGAAATAAGAAGCAAGAAGCTGTCATTACACAACATTAATCACAATAAAAGTAATCTAAGAATATCAAGATACTTACTTTCATGGAGACTTCTTTAACAAGATTCCGGGTGTCTGGATTGTCAAATGGAATGTCATTGGCTGAAGTTCCTTCCACCACAAGTTTCCCCAACATGGTTCCCTTTTCTCTGATCTTTTTGGTCAAGCTTCGAGTGTCAACCCCTGATTTCACGGGAACATTAGCATTAATTCCAAAACCCAATCACTTACTTTATAATGCTTAAATCAAAACTAATTCTTGGTTAAGAAGAACTTGCACTGACTGACCTTCAAGCCCAGGGATGCCTTGCTCTCGGAACCACTGATCCAGAGACTTGGCTGAGCTCCAGTGACTGGGATTCTCAGAGAGCTCCCCAACAATAAGAGCAGCGGCATGGATTTTGGAAGATTCAAACCACTAGACCACCAAGAGAAATATTTAGAACACATCATACCAGTAGTATTAGAACAATCAGCTTTAGAAGAAATATAACATTAAAAGTATGGATACAAAAAAGTAAAAACACCTTGCTGAGTCCAAACTCTCCATCTTCATCTTTAGGAACACCGTAATTGCCAATCAGCGGATATGTCAGAGTTAGTATTTGAGACTTGTAAGAGGGATCTGTGAGAGCCTCTGGATAACCCACCATTCCTGTCTGGAAAACTGAGGACACACAATACATGACTTAGTAATTTACTTAATATTTTCCAGTAATTGCAAGGGCATTAGATGTTATATTGAACTTTTTCCATATTTTTAGAATATGCACAGGGTGCCCATTAAGCTTCATCTTTAATTAATAAATATCTTGGATAAATATACAATATCAAAAAATGAAAAGAAAAAAAAAAAGAAAAAAATTATACCTGTCAAACTTTTTAATTTCTTATATTCAATATAATATAATATAATATAATCTTATATTCACATTTTCCACATTTATTTTATATGGAGAACATTGAGAACTAGGAGGGACACTTAAAATTATGGAATGCACTTCCTTTTAATATCAGAAATGCACCAACCCTGGATTACTTTAAAAAGTTGATTAAGACGCATTTATTTAAGGTTGTGTTTAATTAATTATTGTATTTTTGTATTGCTCTTTTTGTGTTTTAGTTTTACTATAGCACTTTGGGTTTAAGAAAAGCGCATTACAAATAAAATGCATAATTATTATTATTATGAAACATTTTAGTAATTCAAAAAATCTAACATATATATATATATATATATATAGTCATGGTAAACGCTATATATATAAATAAAATAGGAAAAGCATTTTTAATGCACGTTAGTAGTAGAATGGGATGAAATTCCAAAGAAATATTTTTTCTCCTTTTTTTGTATCATGTCAATTTCCCAGCATAAGTGATTTAACGTTACAGTGATTATGCAGTTACTTTATAGATAGACCAATTTCACCCATTATAGCAAATATATTGTATATTTATAACCACACTAGTGAAAATCAGAAAGAGTTCTAAAGATTTAATGCCACCTCCAGATCCAGATCCACTGGTATTCTCAGTTAAATGAATTTCACCCAAAGGTGAAAATTTACTCACCTTCAGGCCATCCAAGATGTAGAAGAGTTTGTTTCTTCATCTGAACAGATTTGGAGAAATTTAGTATTACATCATTTGCCCACTAATGGATCCTCTGCAGTGAATGGGTGCTGTCATAATGAGAGTCCAAACAGCTGATAAAAACATCACAATAATCCACAGGTAATACACACGACTCCAGTCCTTTGAGTAATGTCTTGTGAAGTGAAATGTTGTGTGTTTGTAAGAAACAAATCTATTATTAAGACATCCTTCCAAACTTCTAATCTTTGCTCCCGGCTAAAATTATGAGGCCTCCATCCATAATATTGCTTTCTACAGTGAAAAAGTCATCTTGTCTGAATCAGGAGAGAAATCTGCACAGATCAAACACCATTTACAAGTGAAAATAGTGCACAATTCTAAACAAATATGTTGGTGGGTTTTAATGTGAGAGGACGTGCAACTTTTCATTTCACAAAACTATTTGTGAATTGATGGACTGGAGTCATGTGGATTACTGGTTTATTGTGATGTTTTTATCATCTGTTTGATCTCTCATTTTGACGGCACCCATTCACTGCAGAGGATCCACTGGTGAGAGATCCAAGTGTAATGCTACATTTCTCTAAACTTGTTACGATGAATAAACAAACTCATCTACATCTTGGATGGTGTAAACTTGGAAAGAGTCAATTTTCTGAAAATGTTCATTTTTGGGTGAACTATTCCTTTAAACTGAGCAAAAATGAATATATTACAGAGTATGTAACATACAAATGTGTATGTATATACGTATGAAACAAAAATTTGAATATTTTGAATTTGCTATTGAATTTGAGAAGACAAATTAACCCCAGAGAGAGAGAGAGAGGGGAAAAAAGGAATTTATTCACAGTTCTGTAATTATTTAACACAGGTATACTTGAGTAGACTGATATTACTCATACATTTAAGATCACTGGTGATTTACACTGTTTTTTGCTAGTTGTAATAGATAAGAGTGGTTTGTGGATCACTGACACTGTCATTTCGTTGGCGCTGAGGCTTTTTGTAGCTGATAATGGGTACAGGATCCCCCCTGAAGTGATCCATCAGATCCATGCCACCAATGAAGTTCACAAAGATGATGCCCAGTTTGGCAGGCATGAGACTGCAAGAACAGGTCAAGGTAATATTGTGGTTGTTGAGATGTATTCAATTTAATACAATTAATTACGTAATCATTAAATGTTGATTAATAAACTGAATTTAAATCTACATTAACAAGCATTTAGAGGCCTAAAATACCTCTTAAGTGCCACCAAGAAATGTAGACTTGAGGGTAACAGCAAATACATCTTCTCCTGTAGTATTGCATCCACAATTTGTTTTGCTACATATCTCTGATCCAAGATTGGAAGAAAGGATGGTCTCCTTAGCAAAGGTAGAATATCAATGTTACTGCATCACAAAGAGCACAAATTTCTAATGAGCTTTCGTATGGAAATTGTATTGACTTACTTTGTTTGACATCCCCTAAACATTTTGGTATTTAGTAGATAGGGACACACTATTGTTGTTTTGATTCCTTCCTTTTTAAGGACAAGCAGCTCCAGTGCAACAGATTCTGCAAAGCTCACTGCTGCAGACTTGCTTGCACAATAGTCTGTGGATAAAATGTGTTAGCAATCCTAATCCATTTTTAAATTGTATCCTAATTTAATACTGAATTTAGGACATTGCACATTCATGATTTAGTGTTGCACAGTGACAGTGTCTCTGAAATCCCTTTACAAATATACCTGCAAGGGCGTTCATTGCAAACAACGCTCCATGGCATGCCACACAGACCAGATGCCCATGGTTTCGTTGCAACATAGCTGGGAG